TTTAAATTCAATTGAAGTGGGATTTTTGTGGTTCTTTTATTTTTTTGTTGTTAATAGGAAACATCCCCCCTTCCCCTGGATCAAAAGGCTTTATCCTCTTTTTTCCCAGCTTTGTTGAAATATAATTGATATATAATACACTGCATGTGTTTAAACTGTGCAATTGGATGAATTATGGCATATGTATACATTTGTAAAATTGTCTCACAACAGTCAAGAAAATGTCATAGCCATTTGCCCAAAAAACTTCTCTTGTGCCCCTTTGTAATTCCTCTTTACTACTCCTGTCCTCTTCCACTCTTCTGTTCTCCTTCCTCTCCAACTAGGAAGCCACTGATCTGCTTTCTGTTCCTTAAGAACTATACAAATTATAAACTCTTTTTGGTCTGGCTTCTTTTGCTCAGCATTCACCTGTTGATAGATACTATACAGATTACGTGTGAGAATTACTATTTAGAAAGAAGTCATCATTTGAGGACCAATTGTATGTAAAGTACAAAGGTCAGAAATAAGTCCAGAGAAATTTGGAAGATCCTTGTTTAAACCATAGTTAGGATTACATCATTGTCTCTCAGGTCATAGAAGTTGGATGCTGTTTATATTTGATAATTACTCTATAGGAGGCATATGATGTCCATTTCTCCTTGTTCTACTTATTAGTTACTTATATAAGCTTCTAGTATTGACATCAAACCTTGTAGAAGCTTTAATAACTCAAACCTGATTTGTCAACAGATTGAGAAAGGGCCATTCTCATATTAACCATATTCTCAGACATCAAGGTATAAAACTAAGATGCAAATTTTACTGTGAAAAAGAAAGTCTCCTTATAGATAGATTCTCTAGAAAATCAAATGCTAATTAGAATAGATAGATTCTGTGGAAAATCAAATGCTAATCAGAAGGTTGTTTGATTGTTTAATAATCACATGAGTTTAATTGCTTTAAATGTTTAGATAATACCTTTCCATCAGGGTAAGTGTCTTTGTAAGTACATACTTTTCTCTTAAAAAGTTTAATATAACAAGCATGTGTTACTGTCATTGCACTGAAAGAATAACTTGATTTTCCTTTGCAGTTCATACTTTCTCCTTTTTATCTTTTATGGCATTTCATGTGCTAATAATTTGAAATATCTTTGGAAAAAATGAGTGATTGGTAACATTGTTGACTTAAGTACTATTTAAATACACTCCAGACTTGTTCTGTCTTAAGGTTTTTAAAATCAGTGTAGCTAAACAAATATTTTCCAAACTTTCCCATAATCTTTCCAGATAGGTTTACTTAGTTACCATTGAATTGATTACTATTAATATTCGTTTTCCAGGGCTGTTGTAACAGATTACTACAAACTGGGTAGCTTAAAACAACACAGACTCTCTTTTTATTTTTATTTTTATTTTCAGGAGAGTGTGTGTCTCACTGTTTCCCAGGCTGGCTTCAAATTCCTGGGCTCCAAGATTCCCCTGCCTCAACCTCCCGAGTAGCTGGGATTACAGGCATATGTCACCATGTCAAAACACAATACAGATTTATTCTCTAACAGTTCTGGAGACAAGAAGTCTGAGACCAAGTACATATAGAATTGTTCCTTCTGGAGGTCCTGAAGGAAAAACCATTCCCTGCTTTTCTCTTAGCTTCTGATGGCTGCTGGCAATTCTTTGTGTTTCTTGGCTTGTAGACACATCACTCCAATCTCTGGCTCCATCTTCCTGTAGCCTTCTATTCTATGTCTGCATCCCAAATATCCCTTTCTCTTATAAGAATACCAGTCACTGGATTTGGGGTCTATTCTAAATCCAGGGTAATCTTATCCTGAGATTTTTAATTAGGGATTTGTAAAGGCCCTGTTTTCAAATGAGGTCACATTCATAGTTACTGAGGGTTAGGACTTAGACATAGCTTTTAAGGGAGTATAATTCAATTACAATATTATTAAGTAATATTAATAATAAACAACTAGCCTTTATAGTGTATACTATGTGCTAGAAGTTACATGGCACTAACTTGTTTGGTCCTCCAAAGAAGCTTATGAGACAGTCACTATTATTAGTCTCATTTTTACCACCTTTTATTTTGTTAAACAGGTCTTGTTGCTGTTTTTGCCTAATTCTTTTTGCAGTTAAATCTACTTCAAACAATCTTAGGCCTACATAAATGCATGACAGCAGATTCAGCTTATTATTAATTATACTGGGAATTTTCAGTTCTAAAATTCAGTCCTCCAAATTTACTAGGTAAAGGAGAAGACTTTTGAGGTTGATCATGAGATGGAAAGGTAGCTTTTTCTCATTTTTGTATTTCTTATCCTGGAGAAAACATGAGAATTTATATGTATTTATGAGCTATACATTTTCTATGCATTTTAATGTTGTAAGCAGTATATAGTAGTACTCTGCTATTGGGCCAATATATGTGAAGGAAATATTTAAAATGTCTTTCTTCAGTGAAGGACATACCCTCATAGAAATCGGAACTGGCGTCCAATTCCTGAACAAAACCTGAAACCCACAGGTCATAAGAGGTAAGATAGACAAGTGGGACCTCATTAAACTGACAAACTTCTGCAAAGCCAAAGAAACCATCAAGAGAGCAGGGAGACAGCCTACAGACTGGGAAAAAGTATTTGCCAACACCAGGTCTAACAAAGGCCTAACTTCTTGGATCTACAAGGAACTCAAACGTGCTGAAAAGAAAAAAACAAACAACCTCTTTATAAAATGGGCAAAAGATACGAACAGACACTTCACAAAGGAAGACATCCGAGCAGCCAACAGACACATGAAGAAATGTTCAACCTCACTAATCATCAGAGAGATGCAAATCAAAACCACACTGAGGTACCACCTAACTCCAGTCAGAATGGCAATTATCAACAACTCAAAAAATAACAGCTGCTGGAGAGGGTGTGGCAAAAAGGGAACACTTCTACACTGTTGGTGGGAGTGTAAACTAGTGCAACCTCTGTGGAAAGCAGTGTGGCGATTCCTAAAAGTTCTAAATATCAACCTCTCATATGACCCTGCAATCCCCCTACTGGGAATATATCCTGAAGAATTCAAATCACTCTATAAAAAAGATACCTGCACACGTATGTTTATCGCAACATTGTTCACAATAGCAAGAACCTGGAAGCAACCATGCTGCCCATCAAAAGAGGACTGGATTAAAAAAATATGGTACATATACACGATGGACTACTACGCAGCCATAAAAAAGAAAAAAATCATGAATTTCGCAGCAACCTGGATGGAACTAGAGTCTATAATAGAGTCACCTCTCACAGAAACAAAGATCCGAGTATCACATGTTTTCACTCATATAATGGACCTTGAACATCCAATGTAATACTATAAGAAAATGACTGACAGTAGTGGGAAACTGTGGGGGGGGGAGATGGGATTAACGGTAGCAAATATCTGTCTGGGGATGGGGAAACACCTCTTATCAACAAGGGTGCCTGAACGAAACGTATTTGTATACGTAACCCTTAACTGTACCCCACAATATCATAATTAAAAAAGAAAGAAAGAAAGAAAGAAAGAAAAAGAAAGAAAGAAAACAACACCATTAATCTGGAAAAAAATAAAATAAAATGTCTTTCTTCTGAGGTCTTTTGTCTTAATTAATCTATTTGAAATCTTACTTTTAGACTTGTGTGTTTAGTCTAGCAGGAAATTTCCAAGTGTGGGATGCTGGGCTCTGATCTGGATAGGGAAATGGAAAATGCTATAAAAGAGCTTAAAGGAGAGATAAATGAAAAGAACAATGGGAGCTAGAGAAGGTGTCATTTCAGTGTTACTTGTGTACTCCCATTATGAGAAGGTGAATGCATTTGAGGGAATGTGTGGGCTAGTATAATTTAAGGCTGCCACATAAAAATTCAGGCCAGAAAGGACAAAAAATGACATTTCTTTAGAAATGTCCCATTACCATCATACACTTACCTGACATTAAAATTCGTGCCAATATTTGTTCCTCCAAAGAATAATCCTCTTATTTAAGTTCAAAGTGAACTTTGAGGTAGTTTTAGTAAGATGCCATTAATGAAAATTCTAAGCTGAGAAGAGTGCTGAACTCATTTTTTCCCGCTGGTTTTCAGATTGTTTTCATGTGTTCTTTATCATCAGATGAGATTATATTTATAACCAGAATGAATTACTCTTTGTGCTTATAAAATAGGAGCCCTGCAGTATAACTAGTTATTACGTATTTGGAAATCATGAGATCAAGTCACAGTTCCTGAAAATCATGACATAGTTCATCTGTAGCACTGTTATTCATTGGTTCAGAAGCACAAGTCAGCATATAGTTATAACTTTTTTTTTGAGTTGGGGTTCTCACTGTGTTTCCCAGGTTGGAGGGCAGCGGCACAGTCATGGCTCACCACAACCTCAACCTTCTAGGTTCAGATGATCCTTCCACCTCAGTCTCCCAAATAGCAGGGACTATAGGCACATACCACCACGTTCAGCTAATTTTTTTTTTGATAGAGACGAGGTCTTGCTATGTTGTCTAAGCTGGTCTTGAATTCCTGGGCTCAAGCATTTCTCCTGTTTTGGCCTCCCAAAGTGCTGGGAATACAGGTGTGAGCCACTGTAATGGCCTATAGCTATTATTTTTAAATAGATGAGAAATTTGAAATTCTTACAATTTGTGAAAGAATGTAAGTTGGGTTATCTGCAGCTTGTGTATGATCATCCCCCCGTCCATCTCTCTAGCCTTATCTGGCATCTCCTTTTTTCTGTTTTTTACCAGCCACTGTGACCTTGAAAAAACTAAACTCCATTCTACTAAAGGTCCCTGCTGAATGCTATTTCTTTGCCTATACTACCTTTTAGTCTTTTTTTTTTTTTTTCCATCTGGTTTGCACTTTTAGGCCTCACATAAATGTTATTTCTCCTTGTGTACCTTTTCTAACTCCTTGCATTAGACAAGTCTCTCCTTTCTTTACTCTTTCATTGTAGCACTATCAAAGTAAATAATTTGAGGAGTAGGAGATGCGTCTGCTTTGTTTGCCAGTGTGTCCTCCTAGTAAGTAGTTGTATTTCAATAGACATGTATTGAGTTATTGAATACAGGTATAATATATCAATTGTTTCTGTGGTTAATGTATTTACCTAATTTTTTCACTCAGTAAATTATGTTACTTTTTTTTTTTTTCTTAAGAGTTTGACCGAATTGGAAGTGTTATGTACTCATCTCTATATAGGAACTGATCTTACACAAAGAATAGAGGCTGAGAAAGCGCTCTTGGAACTTATTGACAGCCCAGAATGTCTCAGCAAGTGTCAACTTTTATTAGAACAAGGAACAGTGAGTACTTGGTAACATGCAAGTTCAGTAGATACATTTCAGTGTGAATGAATGATAACTGATATGTGTGTAAATGTATGTTAACAATGATAACAGAGATGTCACATGTCTTTTACTGTAGTTTATTTCACTATCAGAGGGGTTAATAAGGGAAAGAATTAGAAAGCCTGAAAGCTAATTTAGGAGAGAGCCAGAAGGTAGAACAGGAGTGAATTGAAATAGTTTCTTTATTATTCTTGGCCCCTTTTAATTTCTCATATTAGTAGACAAAAATTTTTGGTAAATTGACTAACAAAAAAAAAATCTAGGTAGGGGAGGAAGAATGTAATTACCTCTGAAGCATGAAAGAATGATTCAGAAGAATGCTGACTATCAGAAGAATGCTGACTACCTCTTGCCTAACTTCCTTGTAAATATTCTTAGCCATGCAGTCAGCAGTCATTTATGAAAATAAATGGAAAACCAGGCACTACATTATCTACTTAGTTTATGTACATGAATTAAAGTAGCTCTTGTTTAGTTGGAGAGGCATAGATATGTAAATAGCTATAAAATGATAATGTAACACTACAGTAAGAGACAGTTTAGTCTAGAGCAGAGTTGACAAACTTTTACTGTAAAGGACCAGATACTAAATACTGTAGACTTTGTAGGCCAAGTGACAAATTTGTTGTAAGTACATCTATAACGAGAGAAAACAAATTTCCACAATGTTATTGATGAAATTAAAAATATGATAACCTAACAGAGTTTTTCATAAAGGTTTGCTAATGAAGAGAATGGAACAAATTTTGGGAGGATAACATTTTATTTAATTGAAGTTCATTGACTATAAATTTTCATGTTAATATTGATCTGTAGTGAGATTTTGCATAGTTTGTCTTGGAAAATATCTTTTTACATAGATAGATACTGCCAAATACTAATATCAGTCTATGAACATATGGTTTTAATTAAGCATATTTATCACTTAAGAGGCATTTGTAGAGTTCTGTTACACCTTCTCTTGATATTTGCCTCTTAGCATGTTATTACGTTGCAGATTGATCACTTCCAATTAAAGATTAGGAGGAAGCTCCTCAATGGCACAGTTAAATGGATTTTAAAAATGGAAATTTTCTTTATACTTGCTTCAGGGTCTGAAGCTGGAACTGTCGTTGGAGTTTGGGAAATACCTGTGTATCTCACTACTTGTTTTAACTTTGACCTCACAGGAAGTGTACAAAGTAACTTGACATTACTTATGAGTCAAACAGTGTTAGTTGTTATAGAAACGGTTTTACTGCCATGTAAGTTCTGTATATAAGCACCATTTGCCTTTTAGGCAATTTTGTAATTTGGGGTTAAATTCATCAAGGCATTATCAGTTTTGCAGCCAAAGATAGTTTCCCAGTTGTAATAGTGAATTTGGTCTTCTCATTCAGAAAAGTTTCAGTCCTATCCCTGAGCCAAAAAAAATGCAGTGAAATTTTACCACTGTGAAGCTATTAAACTACTGTCATGGGGGCAGATCAGGATATTCAGCTTCAGATACAGGATATCCAGATATAACGTTTGTATCTGACAGAAATTTACAAAACTGAAGATAAGTTCACAAAAGTAAAGGAAGTTCATTGTTAACACTACTGATTCATTAACTTATGAAAGATTTAGACATTTACTACAGTATCTATTAATGATAATACAGTGAACAATCACAGGCTTTAAACATCTTTCATTTTTTACAAGCTTTGTAAATTTGTTCAACTAAGCTTTTCTCTATATATTTTGCCACCAGTGTCATACATCTTAGCAGATTCTACTTCAGGCTGTATTGAATTAATGTTTCTTGAACTTCTTTGAAAATATTCTGGCCTATAGTTTCATACAAGACTCTTTGTAGAGGCTAATTCTTTAGATACCTCATACTCACCATTAATTATCTGTTTATAGATACCATTAACAACATAAGCAGTATTAGTAACATCTGTCCACTCAGCAAACCTTTCCAAATCATTTATCTTGTTTAAATTGACTTTTGATGTTGTTCCACTATCCTCAACTCTTTGAGCATTTATTCTCACCAAAGACAAGTGGTTACATTTATTTTCTCTACCATAACTTCGGCTGGTGTAATAAAACAATGGTGACTTAATTAACTCATCATTGGTAAATGGCTTTGTGGTTGGATTAAAAAAATGAACCACTTGGAAACTTAACTTTAGTTGCACCCTCATTTTATTTCTTTTTGTAAAGACATACTGCTATGATGAGATGTATTTTAAATTTTCTACTTTTTGACTGCTGATTCCCTGAGTTGGGAATAAATTGTGATTAGGGCTCAGTCTGATATTGTGGTGTATTGTATTCTTTTAGGACAGCTGTAGTGCCATTGTATAAAAAGCTTATTGCTTTGCCATTTAATTCAATAACAAAATAATTCACACTACATTGTTCCTTAAAGGTAGACATTTGAAGTCCACTTTATCTTTTTTTATTTGACTATGATGGATATGTGTGCACTGGTAATATTAAAAAGTACATGGTAATACTTATGGAACATGGTTATAACCTGTGGAGTTATAACTAATCACTGCAATTTATGATATACTGAGCAGCAGTGGGAAGCAATGAGTACTGCATATGATCTCTGTCTTAACTATTCAGTTCTACAAAGCAGCCATAGACAATGAAAGAAAAAAAGAGAGGACTATCTTTGCAAGAAATTCCTTGGGAGTAGAGTAAACCAAACTTTGAAGGTTGAGCATGCATTTAGAGAATTTGAGTATGTTATTAAGTTGAGGTAATTAGTAGCGAGAGAGAATGCAGTTAAGCATGGGCTTTGAAGGAACAGGTAGGTCAGATGGAGAAGGCATTGAAAGCAACTGAAAGGCTATCATGGTCTGAGCATGTGACCATGTGGAGCCAGTTGAATTTGAAGAGAGAATCAGAGGTCAAAATGTGTAGTATTGTGTAGACCATGGTAAGAATACTGTATTTAATTTAAACTTGCTTATAGTAATTTATTTCTCCCAATTGCTTACTGTTGTTTGAGATAGCTATCTGTACCTCCCTCAATCCCTTATGAGGGATTGTATGTGTGTGTGTTTGTGAATACCTGTGTGTGTATGCCTCTATGTGTATGTATCTCAAGTAGATGTATTTTATTGATTGTAAATCTGCCAGTTTGGAAGATCAGAAGAATTCCCATTATTGCTCAGAAAAAAAAGTTCTGGCCGGGCTCAGTGGCTTAGCCTGTAATCCCAGCACTTTGGGAGGCCAAGGTGAGTGGGTTGCCTGAACCCACGGGTTCAAGACCAGACCATGGGCAACTTGGCAAGACCTCATCTCTACAATAAATCAAAAATAGCCGGGCATGGTAGCATGCATCTGTAGTTCTGGCTACTTGGAAGGATGAGGTGGAAGAATCGCGGGAGCCCAGGAGGTCAACGCTGGGTGGCGTGAACGTGCCACTGCACTGCAACCTGGGCGACGGAGTGAGACGCCAACTCAAAAAAAAAAAAAGAAAAAAGTTTCCATCATAATATTTTGATTATTCTCATTTCATTTGTGATATTAATTAATAAAAATTATTCTTTACAGACATCCTATGCTCAGCTCCTTGCAGCAACATGTCTTTCAAAACTTGTCAGCCGAGTCAGTCCTTTATCTGTTGAACAGAGGATACATATCAGTAAGTGGTTTATTCTGCTTTTTATCAAATTGTATTTTAAAGATAAACTTTTTCTTTTAAATATGCTGACTTATCAGACTTGCAAATTATTCTATTCTGTCATTTTTAAAGACTATCATCTCATTTGCTCATCTGTTTATGAATAATGGTGTGTTATACAAAGGAGTGTGTAATCAAAAAAATATTTATTTAGTTTAATAATAAATAATAACTAGTCTTTTATTGTGTGTACTATTTGCTGAGATTTTCACTCCCATTTTATCTTCCAAACAAAATTTTTGAGCAGTCCTCATTTACCAACAAGAAAATTAAATTTGATAGATAGGTTCTGTCATATACCCAAGATCACACAGCTAGGATGTAGTAGAGTTATGATTCAAAACCACTTAATCTGTTTGCAGTTCATGCTCTTAGTCATTATTTTAACTTGATATGCAACTGAATTGACAAGAAGTCAACTCTGTAGGATTTCTTATGTTGATATATCAAAATCATTTGAGATGTATGTAAAATTAGCTGCAGATTCCTGCTTAATAGGAAGATAATTTGTACATAGATAAATAGTGCTTGGAACTTAACGATGGTTGGAAAACTGATTATATAAAGTAGCAATATATTTTTCAAAAGTATTATGTTTTAGGTTTCTGTGTGTATGTATGTAGCTTGCATTTCATGTGAACAGAGTTCTAATAATTGACGTATGAGTTTTTTAATTATCTTTGTTCATATTGAAAGTAGACTGTTGACACATTTCTGCGCTGTAGCTCAAGGTTATCATGATTTATATTTCTTTATCAGAAAAAATAATTATGTATGATGGACCTTTAAGCTCAAATTTGAATGGTCAGAATCACACAATGATGTGTTATTTCCCTCTGTATTTGACTGTTGTTTCTCCAAGCACCCTGAGTCTTAGGCACTGCAGAATGCTTAGAGAAGGATTTTTTTCCATGCACTATTGGACTTGTGTGCTTAAGAAAGCAAAGGAGAGAAATGTTCAGTTTTAAAAATAAGGGATCAAACAGTATAAACTTTAAGTCATAAAATTTGTGATTTGTTTTACTTCTACATATATACATTTTAAATAGACTTTATTTTTCTAGAGCCGTTTTGGGTTTACAGCAAAATTGAGCAGAAAGTACAGAAAATTTTTGTATGCTCCAAGCCTCCACATGCACAGCATGCCCACCATGCAGCAAAGTGATACATTTGTTACAATTGATGAGCCTACACTGACAAATTAAGTCTTAACTTCTTATAATCGATTTACGAATGTTTTGTTAGTAAATGATAAAAATAGAATAGTATCTACATATATTTGATACATTCATAACTTACCTTTTTATTTTTTTAGTAGGAGTCTCACTGTCTTCCAGGCTAGAGTGCAGTGACACGCTCATGGCCACTGCAGCCTCTACTGGCTGAGCGCAGGTGATACTTCTGCCTCAACCTTCCAAGTAGTTGGAACTACAGGCACATATCACAATGCCCGGTCAATTTTTGTTGTTGTTGTACAGATGAGGTCTCGCAAGGTTGCCCAGACTGGTCTTGAACTCTCAGGCTTAGGCAGTTCTCTCACCTTGGCCTCCCAAAGTGCTGGGATTATAGGTGTGTGCAACCGCGCCCAGCCTCTTAATTTTTTTTCTTGAGTTGGAGTCTTACTGCTGCCCTGGCTGGGAGTACAGTTGCATGCTCACGGCCACCCCAGTGTCGATCTGCTGGGCTCTGGTGATCCTTCCGCCTCAGCCTTCCAAGTAGCCATAACTATAGGCATGCACTACCACACCTGGCTAATTTTGACTTATTGTAGAGACGAGGTCTCGCCAAGTTGCCTGGGCTGATCTCGAACCTGCAGGTTCAGGCAATCCATTTGTCTTGACCTTCCAAAGTGCTGGAATTACAGGCTGAGCCACCGAGCTGGGCCAGTTTTTTTAAGTATCTCTATGCTACACAGTTCATTTGCAAATTTTTTCAAATTGCCATAAAACTCCAAAAAATTTTCCAATGTATTTACTGAAAAAAATTCATGGATAAGTGGACCCGTACAATTCAAAACTGTTTTTCAGGGTTAACTGTTTATCTTTTTTGGTGAGGTATCTGTTAAGATCACTTGCCCATGTTTTAGTCAGGTTATTTGTGTTTCTATTTTTGAATTTTAAGATAGTCTGGATAACAGCCCTTTATCTGATATGTCTTGTGTAAAACCTTTCTCTTGACGCTGTCTTTTATAGAGCAGATTTTAAAAATTTTAATGTTGTAATTTGCCATATCCATTCTTTCCTTCATGGATCATACCTTGGGTGTTGCATCTAAAAAGCCATCTCTACACCAAGGTCATCTAGACTTTCTCTATGTTATCTTTCAGGAGTTTTATAGTTTTATGTTTTACACTTAGGTCTGTGATCCATTTTGAGTTAATTTTTGTGAAGGGCATAAGGTCTGCATATAGATTCATTTTTTTGCATATGGATGCATATATTGTTCTGGCACTGTTTGCTGAACAGATTATCTTTTTCCCATTTTATTTGAATTGCTCCTTTGTCAAAGATTGACTATATTTATGTGGGTCTGTTTGTAGACTTTCTGTTCTGTTCTACTGATTGACGTCTTAGTTCATTTTATACTGCTGTAACAGAATACCTGAGACTGGGTAATTCATAAAGAAAAGAAATTTATTTTGTATAGTTCTGGAGGCTGGGAATTTCAGGATCATAGGGCTGGAATCTGGTGAGGGCCTTTTTGCTGCATTATTCAATGGTGAAAGAGCAAAGAGAAGATGAGAGAGTGTGACAAAAGGGCACCAAACTCATCCTTTTTTAAGCAACTCATTACAGAGTTAACAGCATTCATCTTTTCATGTGGGCAGAGCCTTCTTGGCCTAATCACCTCTTAAAGGTTTGACCTATTTTTAAAAATTATTTATTTCAGGGTTAGGTATACAAATGTTCATTACGTAGGTTCCCTTGTTGATGAGATGTGCCTCCCTCCCCTGGCAGTTTCCTACTACTGCCAATCCCTTTCTTTCTTTCTTTCTTTTTTTTTTTTTGAAAGCAGATTTTATTGAGAGATAAGAAAAGCTCCCACAGTGTGGGTGCGGGGGGACCCAAGGAGGTTGCCTAATTTATTTCTTATAGTATTAATGATAGTTGTTCAAGATCCGCTTATGAGTGAGAACATACGATACTTGGTTATTTGTTTCTGTGATTGATCACTCATTTTATAGCCTCTAAACCCATCCAAGTTGCTGCGACGTTCATAATTTTGTCCTTCTTTATGACTGCATAATATTCTCTTGTGTATATGTACCACATTTTCTTAATCCAGTCTTCTTTCGATGGGCAACACAGTTAGTTCCATGTTTTTGCTATTGTAAATAATGCTACAGTAAATGTGCATGTACAGATATCTTTTTCATAGAGTGATTTGAGTTCCTACGGGTATATTCCCAGTATGGGGGTTGCAGGTTGTATGGAAGGTCAATTTTTAGATCTTTGAGTAATTGCCACACTGTTTTCCACATAGGCTGTACTAGTTTACACTTCCACCAACAGTGTAGAAGTATTCCTTTTTCACCGCATCCTCTCCAGCATCTGTTGTTTTTTAAGTTGTATCTTGATTACTGTAATTTTATGGTGTGTAAATTAAATTATATTGTGTTTTATTTCAAGTTCCACTTTCTGGTATAGCATAGTGATTGACTTTGGTGTTTTTTTTTTTTTTTGAGTTGGAGTCTCACTCTGTCACCCAGACTGGAGTGCAGTGACCGCTCCCGGTCACTGCAGCCTCGACCTACTGGGCTCTGGCGATCCTTCCGCCTCAACCTTCCAAGTAGCCGGAATTACAGGCATGCGCTACTACGCCCGGCTGATTTTTTTGATTTATTGTAGAGATGAGGTCTCGCTGCCCAGGCGGGTCTCAAACCCATGGGCTCAGGCAGTCCACTCACCTCAGCCTCCCAAAGGCTCAGGATTACAGGCTGAACCACCGAGCCCAGCTGGATTTTCTACATAGACAATCATGTCATCCGTGAGCAATGACAGTGTGTTTGTGAAACTCTGCTTAAGAAGTGTTGCAGCTTGTGAGTTGTTAAGTGGTGGAAAGGAAGACTACCTGAAGTAGGATGGAAAATTGTAACACCAAATAACATGGATGTGGTTGATAACACATAGTAGATGTATGAGATGTGTTTGTTTTGTATATAGCTTGGTTCGTTTGGCTTGCTTGCAGTTTTTTGTATTCACCGAGCACTTTTTTTTTGTAGATAAAATCTGCAGAAACAAAAGTGACATACTCAAAACAAGTATTATACTCAAATTGTTTCCTAATATATCAAATGCATTGGAATAAATTTGCTTTTTCAAAGCAATCTTTATAAGAGAATTGACTATATAAATATGTCTGTATCTTGAGGAAAGGGATGAACTTTTTGTGAAAGAGCATTTCATTGTAATTGCCTCTTCTTTTTCTTCACATTACATTTCTGAGAAGTCCACATGGTCCCGGAATATTTTCTTTATAGGAAACTACATTCTGAATTATGTGGCATCACAACCCAAGCTGGCTCCCTTTGTCATTCAAGCTCTTATTCAAGTCATCGCAAAAATCACTAAGTTGGGGTGGTGTGAAGTTCAGAAAGACCAGTTTGTCTTCAGAGAAATTATTGCTGATGTGAAAAAGTTTCTTCAGGTAAGAAGGCATCATTACATTGTTAGAACATCACTACTTGCTGTTTTTGGTTTAGAATACTGCTTTTTTCTTAAAGCTGTGTCTTGTTTTGTGGCTACCAGTACCATATTAATTATGATTTATTATTTATCCTCTGGGTCCTTGGTTGTCAGTAAATGAGAATCATACTCTTATATAACTGCCAAACCAGAAGAATGAAAATAATCATGTTTTCTAATTTCAAGATGTTTGTTATTTCATATATGGTGTATGTTATTTCATATATGGTGTATGTCTATTTCATATATTATGTAGTATATGTGTACAAAACATGTATATAATGCTTTTTATATATTATGTAATTAAATATTCATTACAGCCCTGTAAATTGTATTTCATTTTGTAAATAAGTAAACTAAGGCTTTTAACTTTTTGTTACATAATTTCCATATGGTTTCACAGTAATCTAGTAAAGCATAAAGCTAGCTTTAACAAGTCTTCTAACTTATGATAAATTTTTTTGTTTTTACTCTATACCACATTGACTGTCAGTTTCCTAAGAATATTTCAAGTTTATCCTTAAGCATTTTATACTGGTGTTTAGTATATACAGCTGTTATATAAGGGAGGACCCAGAAAACCTGGAATTATTTTTTGGAGGGCGGGACCCTTGTGGTACACTTGTAATTTGTTCCTCCAGACCAAACCATCAACCAAAGTTTTTATATGGAGGTTTTGAGAACGTTGCATCACGATTTGCGAAAGAAACTTCCTGAGATATGGCAAACAGGTGACTGGTTCTTCCACCGTGACAGCATACTTGCCCACACCGTGCTGAGTGTTCAGTTTTTGACCAAAAACAGCATGACCCCCGTGTCCTACCCTCCCTGTTCACCTGATCTAACCCAAGTGACTTTTTTTTTGTTTCCTTGGATGAAGAAAAGTCCTCAAGGGAAACATTTTGCTAATGCGGAATAGGTGAGACAAAAAAAAGACAGAATCACTGAAAGGCATCAAAATTGATGAATTCAAAAACTGTTTTGAGCAGTGGAAAAAGCATCTCAGTAGGTGTATTGCATCAAACAGAGAGTACTTTGAATGTGACAGAATTTAAACATGTAAGAATAAATGCACATTTTAAAATAAATAAATTCTGGTGTTTTTGGGTGTACCCCTTTTATATCAGTAAAAATGAGTTATGTTAAAAATAATGTTTTCAGCCTCAGTGACTAAAATAAAGTCATACCATATGCACATTTAACTTTTACAAATTTAGATATTTGCACTGCAAAATAAAAACGTAAGAAAGAATAAACAAAAACAAGAGAACACTAAACTAAATTGTGCCAATGATTTCACTTGCCATTCCACACAGTGATTATATGTCCTGGGATGATTTAAGGAAACCTTAATCTGCCCTTGCTTCTTGTATGCCTCTTACTTAGGGTAACCATTAAGCCTTGCTCTGCATGATTCAGATATTTGAAGATAACATTTTTTTCCCTACAGACATGATCCCTAATTTTGAGAAGACTATTTTATCTGGTGCCCAGTTAAATAAATAGTGACCTACAATAATTCTTGAGGAAAAATTGGCAGTTTGATTAATAGAGAGATGGTTCAGTATTGGTTTATGGGTGATTAAGACAGATTTGACTTTCTGAGATTTTACTTCTTATGCCTTAACTTTAAAATTTAACTCCTGCATAAGACGTACCTTCATCATATAGTGCAGTGCTAGAAGCCTCATAATATGAAATGCTAGTGTCTGCTGTTTCTGTTTTATTCATATTGTTAAAAACTGGTTAACAAATATTTGATCATCTAAAACTTCATGGGAATAAGTACGTTCTTAGCTCTGAGGAGACTGGTGTACATTGGGGCAGAAAGATAGTTTATTCAAGACAGATGAACTTCTCACTTGATAGTTTGGTTTGTGATTTTGACTAACACAGTAGCGCACACACCCCCCCCCCCCCACTTACTAAGATTGTTCATCAGGAATCATTAGAGTAGGCTGGGCTCGGTGGTTCAGCCTGTAATTACAGCACTTTGGGAGGCTGAGGCGAGTGGATTGCCTGAGACTGCAGGTTCGAGATCAGCCTGGGCAATGTGGCAAGACCTTGTCTCTACAATAAATCAAAAAATTGGCTGGGTAGGGTAGCACATGCCTGTAGTTCCGGCTACTTGGAAGGTTGAGGTGGAAGGATTGTTGACTCCCAGTGGATAGATGCTGGGGTGGCTGTGAGCATGCCACTGCACTCCAGCCTGGGTGACAGAGTGAGACTCCAACTCAAAAAAAAAGAATCATTTGAGTAAACTGGAATAGACTTTATAGTTCTTTTAAAATAAAACTGAAAACTGAATGAAATGAAATCATTCTTGCTTTCTTAAGCTACCTCTTCAGCGGTTGGTAAGTTCATCTGAAGCTAGGTTTTAGTGTGCTTTTGTCAGTTTTGGAAGACCAGAAGAAACAGAAAATGTTTCATCTTCAAAGTTTACTATAATATCATCACAGAATATTTAACACTTGTTTTCTGGATATGTGGTTTGACCTAACACTGCATCATGAGAAAAATAATTGACTTTAGTGTTTTCATACTCCAGAATAGTACACATAGTTCCTTTGGGTATTAGCAGCTTCTGTGAATTTTATTCTAAAAATTATTTTATGTTGGTTAAATTTTTAATGGCTTGAACTTTCATATATTCTCTTTTCTGTATTATTGCAGCCCAATTGCTGCCTCACTTCAAATATATTTATGTGCCTCCTTTCTATATATACATACTCAGGAAATACTGTAATCTAGAGCAGTGCTATTCAAATTGCTGGTCTGCAACAAGATAATGAGCTTATGTAAGAGTATTTTTAAATGAGCTTGGTGCTTCCCTCATCGAGAAAGACTTGCTGTGTAAAAAAATGCCAGCTGAACTAAACAGTGTATTTAGTGACTTTGCTGTGTTATATTCTGTTATTCTCTTCATTTTGTCATGAATCAGTACCAGATGATTTTCAGATTAGAAATGAGTTTTCTGACTGTTAGCTTGGTTTTAGCTGTTGGTCAAGGCACTATACTTGGAGGAGCATTGACCTAATATACACAGAGGATGAGTGTTTCAGTGAGTAGGGAATTTGAAAATAACTAAAATACAAATATTCTGAGACTTTTTCTTATTCATTTTTTTGTTCTGAGGTAATTTGAGCTAAAATTCACCAAGTGATCCAGTATTATTGGAATTTTGTGGTTGTTAGAAGGGATGACCAACTATAAAATCTTGAAAAATGTGTCATCCGGGCTAATTTTTAAAAATGATTACTCTGTAATTGGGTGTCACATTTATTATTTTCATACTTCCAGGGTGATTTTGCAATAGGGTAATTTGTTAGTAATGTGCATATAAAATCTGAATTTTGATATATTGGAAGTTTTGAGATTAAATTGGAAGCTGATTAAATTAAAAACATTGTAGAGGCTATGGAAAACTATACCATATTGATAGCCATGTGTTTACTGCATTGGGTACTTTAGATGCCATTGTTATAGGTATGCACAAATACTTCATATTAAAAGAGCCTTAATGGTCCTGTCTGGTATTAGATCATAGGATTCGAGTTAGTTCCTAAGCGATTTATTAATTATTTATTGAATGCTTCCATCTCAGTAGGCTTCAAGCAAATTTATAGAGCTACAAAGTATGTTTTGCTCATTCTTATTCATGATCTTATAATAAGTATTTAACTAGATTTTTATGTTTTGAAGCTTAGTTTATTTTATGTCACAGGTACTGGAAACATTTTGTAGAGTATTATGCACTTTAGTGTCACCACTAAAATTCACTGTGGTAGGTGAACTTTTTTCCACTCAACTCTGTGCACCCAAATTTATCCTTCAAAAAAAATTAGCTTGAAATTATTTTATTATTTACAAATTATTTTATTTGTGGAACTCAGAGATTTTTCTTTACTTAAAAAATATATTAAGTAATATGATGTTTCAGTATTTAGTTATTTATAAATATTACCAGGTTATTATACATTAAGTGCCAATCACTTGTTTCCACTTAGGCTAAACTTTGTTATTTTCTCCAAAGGGTACTCTGGAACACTGCATAATAGGAGTAATAATTCTTTCTGAATTGACTCAGGAAATGAACCTGGTGAGCAAGTCTTTCCATCTAATGGGAACATGGAAGTTTGGTTAAGTAATGCTGTTCCTTTGCTGCTTTTATTTGTAGCAAAATGTACAGTCTTCTTTACGTGGCATAAAGTTCTGGATAATCAAGTTTTTTTGTGTATCTGTTTTATTGTTGGGGTAGTTAAATAGTGAAATACTGTCATTGTTACTGAAAACATCAACAATAGTAGCGAGTACTGAGAAGAACAGATAATTAGACATGGTTCTTGCTTCATGGGCACTTTTATTCTCTGTATATATAGTAATTTCTAACCATAAGAAATAAATTATATGCAAAAGAAAACCAGACCTTTATTCACTTACAAATAAAAGGTAACTGGTTTGGTGAATTGATTCTAAACAGTACATACACAGCAGGACTCATCAAAAATCAGGCCTCTTGGCACTTTGACACTTTATAGCTTGATTTTCAGCCCATAATAAGGAGAGTGTCAGAAGCTACATCTCCTCAACAGTGCTTTTATGAGCTGAGCAGCTGAGCACATTGTTACCTGTTCCTGTTCACTTTTGCACTTAATATGGTTCTAAACAGAACAAAAACAGTATTGGGGTCTATATGGAATAATTTTGTAATAAAGGGAAATGTAGTGTTTAACTCTAAAAACTGTCATGAACTTGAATGGTATGTTTGTATACATGTAGGTATATATATGTAGGCAGAATTGACATACCCAGGGCCATTTGCAAACTCCCTTGGGAGTAACAATGTAGCCATGTGCATTAAAAGAAAATCCAAAATAACCATTTTCTACTTGTGTCCAATCAGGAGTTTTAAAATATTTATAGATTTATGAGAAGGAGTTCTAAAATTTAAAGTGGTCTTTTAATTTATCATAGCCAGTGCCTTCCTGACTTGTCTACCCAGAGTATGTAAAGATTTCTCTGCTGTTATGTGTATGTATACACATATGTACATATGTATCTGTATCCAAGACTAGTAATAATACTGTATTGACAGGGATGTTACGTGAGGGATAATCATATTAAACTTTGTAAATATGTCCAAAGAACTAGCCTTTTAAAAAAATTTTAAAAATAATTTTGATATGGAAATTTTACCTTATCAAAGTGAAGAGAATAGTATAATAACCTTATGTATCCATTGTTTAGATTTTACAACTTTTTGCTTATCTTAAAACTAGCAGCTTTGGTTGGGTGCAGGGGCTCATACCTACAATCCCAGCACTTTGGGAGGCAGAGGTGGGAGGATTGCCAGAGCCCAGGAGTTCGAGACAAATCTGGGAAACTTGGCAAGACCTTGTCACTTGGCAAGACCTTGTCTCTACAATAGATGAGAAAATTATCTGGATGTGGTGGCATGTGCCTGTAGTTCCAGCTACTTGGAATGCTGAGGTGGAAGGATCACCTGAGCCCAGTAGGTTGAGCTTCAGTAGCTGTGAGCATGCCACTGCACTCCAGCTTGGGTGACAGAGTGAGACTCTGACTCAAAAATAAACAAACAAACAAATAAATAACAAAACTAGCTGTGTGATTCATTTCCTACTTTTCAGCATAATAGGATAATAAGCTGCCCTGGAGGTGAGGGTTTGCTATGTATATGTTTAGACTGTTAATGAAATAAGATTAGGTAATGTGGAGTTCTAATAAAAGTGTTACTCAGAGAGCAACCAAATATATATATTTTTAAATAAACAAACTTAGAGAAAAGTTGTACATACATTACAAAGACTTTTTCCTCAACTATTTGATACTAAGTTGTCAACATGATTCCTACCACCAGAAAATCCTTTAGTGTGTTTACTACATACAAGGGCACTCTCTTATGGAGCCACAATACAACCAATGAAGTCAGAAAATTAACACTGACATATTACCACCACCTAATACTTATATTCCATTCAAGTTTCACCAGTTGTCCTCAAAATGCCCTTTATAGCAAAAAAAGCCCTTTTAGAATTATGCAACATTTAATTTTTGTTTTATTAGTCTCCTTTGATCTGGAAAAGTTCCTCAATCTTTTTTTTTACTTTCATGCCCTTGACATTTATGAAGATTACAGGCTAGTTGTTCTGTAAATTGTTCCTCAGTTTGGGTTTATCTGATTTTTCCTTATTATTCGATTCCACTTTTTCGTATTTGTCAGGAATATCACAGAAATGATACTGTGGCCTTTTCATTGCCTCCTGCCAGTAAGCACATACAGTGATTTGTCTCTCACATTACTGATGTTCACTTTTAACTCTTAATTGAAATGGTCTCTACCAGGCTGTCTCATTGTAGATTTATTCTTTTCCTCTTTGTAATTAATAATATTTTGTGGAAAGGTGCTTTAAGAGTCTGAAAATACCTTGCCCTCATCAGACTTTTAGCTAATTGATTGATTTATATTAGTATAGATTCCTGGTTTTCTATTTTATTTAATAGATTATAATTCATTACTAGCATTATTTATTTTGATGCTCAAATTTTCTGAGATTTGGCTAGTAGCACCCTTTTCAAGCTGACTTGTGTCTATTTGACATTTTCTCACCATTCTTTGGATGCTTTCTTGCCTTCTGTCACAAGTTGGCCCAGGCATATGTTGCATACTACTACCAAGTACTTTTTAAGAAAAGCTTAAGATCTGAAGTGTGATTTTTGACTTTATATGGTGAAAAATGCATGACTTCTATGGAGAAATACATGGCTCTGGCCTAATTTTATGGCATTTACAATTTTAGTTAGGATTTATTAGGCATTTCTGAACAATGCAGTATGAAGATCTGTATTTCATAAATTAATTGTAGTTGTCAGATGTGAGCCAGGTAAATCTTAATGTAGTGTCAGTAACAGAATGTATCTTTTAAGAAAAAGATCTGAAGTTGAGTTTTCATAAAAGTTTCGAGGATTATATATGTTATCATGCTTTTTTTAGAAACCAAGAAGTATATTTAACATATAGTCATCAAGAAGTCAAATATCCTGTGCTTATGTGATAGAGGCATAGGAATGAAGTAGAAAATGGATGTGCATCCCGTCTTCTCAAAACATTGGACATCTAACTGAGTAATACAAATGAAATCAGCATGTAGGCCTTTAAAACTCTGGGATCAGACATAGATTTGTATATTAGCTGGATCCCTGACTACTTTGTACAAACTTCTTAACTTCCTTAAAATGGATATAAACATGCTATTTATAAAGTGAGAATTACACCTACTTACGTGAATAATAAAACTATATAAATTACTAGCACAGGGCTCAGCATGTAGAAGGTGCTCAGTAAACCGGTTTCTTTGTTCCATATTGTGGATACGGTTAGTAGTGAGAAGCTGGTTTAAGATAGTGTGCTTATAAACTTGAATTCTCTCATTTATTTTTAAAAATCATCCTTTATTTGAAAACTCAGATGTTTTAAAAAAAGGAAAAATATATCTCTCACATATTAGTTGTGAGGATTAAGTGAAATAAAATGTTAACAGTACTTTATAAATTGTCATTGTAATGCTGCATGCTAGTATTAATTTTTATTAAGGAGATACTTTTTTCTGTATTGAGGGAAGTATTATAGGAGAGACAGACTTTGCAATTTGATTTAAATTAAGGAAGAAATACTGAAAATGTTAATTCAAATCTTACATATTGGATACAGATTCCTGAAGCTACTTTTTATAATCATTTCAACTTTCTGTTATATTTCTTACAAGTAAAGTATAGTCTAAATTGTATGTTGGGGCTTAGGAAGTGCTAGATAATCAATTTTGAAGCCATTACTTTTTCCAAGTCTGTAAACACTAGCAGGAAAAATGGTTTATTTTCTTCTTCCAAATAGCAACAGGAATAAGCAGTAATGCTATAGCAACTGTACACCACAATGTTAATGTGGGTATCAGACTTCAGTTTTGTTTGTTGTTTCCTATTGATAAAAGGAAGTATTAATGGTGTTAATAGTGTATTTTTGAATGCATTTTAGGTAAGAGACTGAAGACCTATTTTTACCCATCGACTATTAACATGGCTCTTCTGTTATTCTTTGAGTAACTTTAAGCAACTCACTCATCACGGTAGAATCACAAAAACCCTTTTAGTTCTATAATTTGTGATTCTTTACTATTTCCATTCTTTTTGTTACTTAGTAAATTTTTGTTTTGCTTTTTGGTAGGTCTGGTTAAACTGATTTCATCTTGGTTTTTTTAGGTTGATTATTCTAGACCTTCAGCAAAACACAGGAAAATAGCTACCTCATTTCGTGATACTTCTCTCAAAGACATTTTAGTGCTAGCATGCTCTCTTCTAAAAGAGGTAAGTTATTTAGTAATTCATTTTTCTTGTTAGAATAATTTGGAAATTTGAAAAGTTTCAAAAGAATTTCAGTTAGATTTTCCCCCCATGTTGCCTTTTGAAGAATATTGTAGACAGACTTAATTATAATAACATTTGCAGAAATCTGTTTTAAAAAGTGAAAAAACTCACTGTTTTGTTTTGTTTTATTATTTTTTAAATATATGTTTTAAGACCTGCACTTTGATTCTTTCTTTTTTTAATTTTAAATTTTAGAGATGAGGAGTACAATTTAGGGTTAGGTATACAAATGTTTATTATACTGGTACCCTTGTTGATGAGGTGTGCCCCCCTCGCCCCTGGCAGTTTCCCACTACTGCCTATCCTTTTCTTATAGTATTATGATAATTGTTTAAGGTTCACTTATGAGTGAGAACATGTGATACTCAGTTCTTTGTTTCTGTGATAGATCGTTCAGTATTATAGACTCCAAGTCCATCCAAGTTGCTGTGAAGTTCATAATTTTGTCCTTCTTATGGCTGTGTAATATTCCATTGTGTATATATACCACATTGTTTTTATCTGGTCCTCTTTTCATGGGCAGCATGTTTGGTTCCATGTTTTTGCTATTGTGAACAATGCTGCCATAAACATGCGTGTGCAGGTGTCTTTTTCATAGAGTGATTTGAGTCCTCTGGGTATATTCCCAGTAGAGGGATTGTGGGGTCATATGGAAGGTCGATTTTTAGATCTTTTAGGAATCGCCACACTGTTTTCCACAGAGGTTGTACTATTTTATATTCCCACCAACAGTGTAGAAATGTTCCCTTTTCACCACATCCTCTCCAACATCTGTTGTTTTTTGAGTTATTGATGATGGCCATCCTGACTGGAGTTAAGTAGTATCTCAGTATGGTTTTAATTTGCATTTCTTTGATGACTAGTGAGGCTGAGCATTTTTTCATGTATCTGTTGACTGCTCGTATGTCTGCTTTTGAGATGTGTCTGTTATATTTTTTGCCCACTTTGTAATGGGGCTGTTTGTTTTTTTCTTTTTGGCACGTCTGTGTTCCTTGTAGATCCTAGATATTAGGCCTTTGTCAGATACACAATTGGCAAATATTTTTTCCCAGTTCATGGGATCTCTCCCTGTGTTCTTGATGGTTTCTTTGGCTTTGCAGAAGCTTGTCAGTTTGAAGAGGTCCACTTGTCTATCTTTTCTCTTATTGCATGGGCACGTGGGTTTTGATCAGGAATTGGTTGCCAGTTCCAATTTCCAGAAGGATGTCTCCTGCATTTTCTAAGATTCTTATGACTTGAGATTTTACATTTAGGTCTTTAATCCATTTAGAGTTGACTTTTGTGTATGGTGATAGGTAGGGGTCTTGTTTTAATCTTCTGCATGTGGTCAGTCAGTTTTCCCAGCACCTTTTACTGAATAGGTTCTCTTCTCCCTAGTGGTTGGTGGTGGAGGCTTTGTCAAAGATGAGTTGGTTGAGAAATAGAGATTTTGCTTCTGAAATCTCTATCTGTTCCATTGGTATGTATGCCTGTTCTTGTACCAATACAAGGCTGTTTTGATTATTGTTGCTTTATAATAAAGTTTAAAGTCTGTAAGTGTGATACCTCCTGCTTTGTTTTTTTTGCTGAGGATTGTTTTGGCTATTTGTGGTCCAAAAAATCTCACTTTTATTCACTGGGCATATGATAAGGTAAAATCCAAAGGGAAATTAATAGCATATCTTTAGTTAGCAGTTTTATTGTTTGCCTACAATAGGTTCTTTATTATAGTAGCTGACTATTAGTTTATCTGCCGTGGTGTTCATATTTCAATGGAGATGAAAAATAAAATGGTGGTAACTTTTCTTAACTCATCAACTGTCAACATTTATTTATAGTTAAGCCAAGATAGTTGACATTAATAATTTCTTTGGGAAATAGTTTTTCCCCATTTGCTATTTAGTGCTCTATTGAACATTAGTAATAGCACAATTCATAATTAATTTGTGTTCTCTTGTATAACATAGGGACTCTATCATGCTGCTCAAACTTGTTAATTGGCATAGTATACCATTTCCCATAGTTTCCAATTCTTTTAGTTCTAGTGTATAGTAACATGATAATGGCCACAGTAGATTAGACCAAAAGACTTTCTATTATTTTAAAAATTTTCTTTTAGTATGGAAAATTTTAACATACATAAAAGTAGATAGAATAGTATATAGACCCTCTTGAACCTGTTAACCAGTTAAACAGTAACAGCTTATACCCAGTTTTGTTTCATATCCATTCCTACCTACCTACATTATTTCTTTTTTATTTTTGAAGCAGAATACCAAACTTTATATCATGTCCTCCATAGATATTTCACAATATATCTCTAAAGGGTATAGTCTTTTTTGGTTGTGTCAGAATAGACAGTATTTTAGGGGTCAGGATAGTTCTCTAGAAGCTTGTGTCCTTCCACACTCAACAGTTCTTATAGTCTTTATTAGTCAAATATGGTTCTATTATGCATTAAATTGATTCAGTTTTTCTTGAAGAAAGTTACATTTTAATCTACTATGTAGAACAACATAATGTAAACTGGTTTTTTTTAAACTTATTTTCATTTGGCATTGAATTATTTTAATTCATGGAATGAAAATTTATTAATGTATTTGTGTTTTACTGGATTTTGAACTTTTTTCAGGTGTTGGCCAAACCTTTAAATCTTCAGGATGAATGTCAACAAAATCTGGTAATGCAGGTCTTGAAACTGGTCCTTAACTGCCTTAATTTTGATTTCATTGGCAGTTCAGCAGATGAATCTGCAGATGATCTTTGCACAGTACAGATTCCAACATCTTGGAGACCAAGTAAGGAAAAAGTTTACTATGAGGAGTGGTCAGCATAAAAGGCACAGAATTAAGCAATATGGTGCCCTACATATAGGATTTATTTATTTATTTGTTTATTTCTTGCTAGGCAATCAAAATAGGGCTCTGAAGAATTTTAACCAAAAGTAGCTGCTGATACCCAATATTGAAAGGCTTTCCCCTATTCATATCATAGTAATTTCTGTATTTTGACTTTTAAAAACTTGGGATGGAATATCAAGAGCTCTGATTTGAAACATTCAGATAAATAGAATGAAAAAGATTCCAACAGCTGGCAAGAGATGTGAACATATTTTTCAAGGTTATAAAGAGAATGAATTAGAGTGACTTAGAGTAGTGAACAGGCATAAAAAGGCTACAGCTGTTTGACAGAGTTAGGGAACAACTATTCACTATTTCAAGCTGAAGGCTCTGGGAAGTAGGTGTAGAAGAATGCAAATGATAGGGTATTTGAGCTATTGATCATGTGGGAAATATCATGAAGAACATTTCCCAAATCTGTCAGAGCATTTGAAAAGAGTTAATGATCGATATACAGCTAAGCACAGAAAAGATGCTGATTAAGTCTAGGGAGTTTTAAAAATATATAATCACAGCTCAGCTGTTAATATTATTTACATATTATAATGTAAATCATAATTAGTATTTCCATAAATTGTGATAATATTGGATAGATTTTTGGGAGGTTGGATTGTGGAGAGAGTGTTGAGGGTGGTGGGGATTTGGGATTAGTGGTTAGATAACTAAAACTTCTCTATAATAGGAATTCAGTGATGTCTAAAGTAAAACAATCAAATGAAGAAATAGTAGTATAGAATATTATTTGAAAATGTATGTATATAGCTAAAAGAGTTGAAAGGTAGTTGGAGTGAGGTAGGGTTACAGCTATTTTTTCTTAGGAGCTTTTTAGTACTGTTTACTTTTTGATACTTACTTGAATTTTTAAACATGTTTATCTTACTTTAATACAAATACAAATAGAAGATTCTTTCAGAACTGCAGATGCTGCATAAAAATGAGAAACAACTTGGCTAGTTAATTTCTGTCTCTGTATTATTTAATCTTTCAAAGGAAAATAGCTAGAAATTACCTAACTGGAAAGTAGTGGCCACATGCAGAAGTCTTGGATTTCTCAGTCTGTGTGATAATGTCTTACATCGATGTTAGAAAATATTTTTTTTCCTAGTTTTCCTGGAACCAGAAACATTGGATCTTTTCTTCAATTTGTATCATACACTTCCACCACTACTGTCTCAGTTAGTAAGTAAAAGTCATTTATTACTTCATTAAAAAGTAGCTGTGATCTTTATCTCATTAAAGTAAGGGATAGTACATATTTACTTTAAAAAATTCTGTTTATGTATTCTATTTGGTTTACCTCTCACAATAAGTTCTTATATTTTCTGAGATGTGTATTGTTTAAGCTATTTGTCACATTTTATTTATTTTGTCAACATTTACCTTCTCAGAACTAGTAGCTATTGATTTAGCTCTTGCCCAGAGCCGGGACAACCTACCAGCCTGTATACATCTTCCTTCCTACTCAGTTCCCAGAGGGTCTAAGTCCAGTTGACTACCCAATATGGACTTTCCCTTCTCTTACCTCTCTCTAACTTTTCCTTACCCCGCCTTACTCCCTGTCTTAGGCTTAGACAGATATTCCCCATCAGATCACTGAATAAGAAATGAAGGGGATCTGCTCACTCACTTTTGTGTTTATCACTCTGGTTTTTCATTTATTTTTAAAATAATGTAATTCTATTGCATGCTTAAAACATTTTGAAACTGTAATTATATAGAATTTTGAGACTACGGGCTCCATCTTTGAGGAGTCTAAAATAGATTTGACAAGGTTATAAAAGAAATTGGAAGTTTAATGTCTAAGCTTATGTAAATTTGAGGAGTTCAAGTATTGCCATTTCCTGAAAAAAGATATTCCATATTTAATGTACATATCAGTGGTATATTTGTTATGCTGTTGTCTAAAAGGAAGGAATGGATTTACAAAAATATTCTTTTAAAAAAATCACATCTGCTCTTGAAAGCTAGGGTTTAAGCTAGCACATTTTTTTCTTATGTGAACATTTTCATGCTTTTCTGTTTCTCCTTTTCATATGCTCATCCTGCTTAAGTAGATTTTCTCTCCCACAGTTCACATGCCAGTTAGCCTGAAAACAAAATTTTAGTGTCATTGTTTTTCAGTGCTACTTTCAGTTCATACCTCTTCTCTAGTCCATGGTTTTCTCTAAGCTAGTACTTTTTAAACTGGGTTTCACAGGGTACTCATGTTTCCAGTTTGTACCACAGCCTTCTATCTTTCAGCCAAAACTGTCTTACTTTTAGTTGTTAAAAAACCTTGGTTTCTTGTATTATGTTTTGGGAAAAAACAAAAAAAAATTGCCAGTACCTACAAATAAAGTAAAAAACAACTGCTTTGAGAGATTGTAACAAACATTTATTGGATGTGTTGTATTTATTATATAATGTTTATCTTACTTAATCCTCAAAATGGCCCTACAAGGAAAATAATACTGTCCTCAATATTTAGTTCCAGAAAACAGATCCAGACTGGCTAAGTGACTTCCCCAGGGCAATAAAGAAAAATTCAAACCCAGGTCTTTTTGACCTTAATATGCTAGTGTTTTTAATATGCTAGTGGTTCCCAAACCTGCACATCTGAGTTGTTTGATTTTTTTTTTAAATTTAACAATAAGAGCTGTGGGAAATTGGAGCACATCTAACAAGCGCATTTTCTGATTTTTGTTTCCATTTTCACCTTTGTCAAGAGAACCAGACATCTTGTGTGAAATCTTCTAATTGAAATATTTAAATATTGACAGCTAATGTTAATCTAAAAAAAAAAAGAATACGGGAAAATAAAATATATGTAGGCCATTTTGGCCTGAAAGTTGCCAATTTGGGGCCTCTTAATGATCAGACAGACTTCAGTGGGTGCTATTAGAATTAAGAAACTGCGTAGTGAAACTTTAGAAAGGTTACTAGGCCACAGGTGCCATTTAGGAATTTTTACAAAGTACCCAACTCTTCCAGAAGCATACCCAAACTGTTCCTTAAGATACTAATGGATGGTGTAAAATATCCCATGTCCAAATAAATTTGGGATCTGTTGAATTAAGTGTAGGATTTTTTTTTCTCCTTGCTGGATAATACAGTGTATAATGTGCAGTATTTCCCAAACATACTGTACCACAAAACCATATTTTCTTTATGGTAGAAAATATGGTTCATTGATTAAAAAACAGAACTGGGTTTCAAGTAATCAGCCTATTGAACATACACACGTCCAGGCCCTGCTCTGGGAGATTTAGTATGAAAAATGTTAGAGAGTAATACATACAAATAGTTTTAATGGTGGGGTAGAAGGATTGTGGGTGGTGGTTGTGACTGATGATATTTAGCTTTCATTTGTATGTTCTTGAATGCTTTTTTTATCATTATAACTAAATACATTTAAAATATAAACCTAGTATTCCTTCCATGTGGCCACAGTTACTTTTAAAATTGAAATGAATTTTTGTTGTTGTTTTTAGGCACTTTCATGTTTAGTTCAGTTTGCTTCGACAAGAAGGTCCTTATTTAGCAGTCCTGAACGTGCCAAGTACCTTGGCAATTTAATTAAGGGAGTTAAAAGGATACTTGAAAACCCTCAGGTATTTATGAAGTAATTTAATTAATACTTAGCATATAGAAATACAGTTTTTCTGCTCATAGAAACACACTAAACCCATTATGAATTTATTATGATTTTGGAAGAAAATATTTAGTACCACCTTCATCTTCTTCAGATCTCAATTTGTAGTAGAAATGGGCAGTTTAAAAAAAAGTTGATGTTTCCACGGCAGACTTCTTTTTCTCTTTTTTTCTTATAGATGAGCATGAAGAGGTTCATCTTTTTATGTTTCTGTCTTTTACTATAGTATTTATTTGCTTGTACTTTTTAAACTACTGAAATGATTAATTTGGTGTTATAGCTACCTTCTGAACCAAAAGACTTAATATAAATCTGAATGTTAATATTAGAATACGTGACTTTAAATTATGAAATAATGTCTTCTTGCCCTCTTGTGGACAAGTAAGAGTTTGTAGATTTTAAAATCTTTTTTACATTAACTTCTGAGCTTTAATGGCAATATTCATTTCAGAGAATTGCAAAGCCATTAATGAGTGATTTTGGGTCCCTAGATAAAATATTTTTGTTTTACTTTTTATTTTGTTCTTGGTTTAAAATATCTATAATTAGTGTACAGATTTTAAAAGGTTTAATGATGATTTAAGGAGGTTTATCTAAGTTTCTTATTAATAACTTTTGGGGGACATATCTTTGAACAAAAAGAAAGTTGTACTACAAAAATGGTTTTGCAGGTTATTCTGAGAAGTATTTTATGGGTTATGTGTTTGTTATATCTTTTCAGTGTTAGTGTAACTGTGAAATTTACCTGTTTTACTGATAGATAAGAATTTTGCCAGTGTACTTTCAAATTTTTAGTTGTTTAACTCACAGTCATTAACCAATATGTGGAAGATAATATGCTAATTCCTGATAATTCTCTTAAATGATTTTCCAACATCCTCATGGTGATGTTTCATGGTTGTAAAAGTTAGTATGAATATTATATTATTTTAGAATCACAAACATGTATTAAATGATCTGTGATTACAAGATATTTTTTGTAATTTATCCTTAATAGTTAGACACTATTTTATATTACTTCATGGAACTCCTATGAGTGAAATTTCTTAGACACTTTCAGTATGAAACAGATGTTTTTTGAATTCTGTTTTATGCCATTTGTTGTGCATACTAAAAAGTGCTCAAACTGTAGAGATAATAATATGTGTGCATTGTCTTCAAGGAGCCTGCAGATAACTGGGAAGACCTTTCTTAGTCTTTCCTTTATTTTTTATTTTTTTGAGTTGGGGGATCTCACTTTCACCTGGGCTAGAGTGCAGTGACACAATCATGGCTCACTATACTGCCTTGACCTCCTGGGCTAAAGCAATTCTTCCCCCTCAGCCTCCTGAGTAGCAGGGATTCCAGGCATGTATCACCATGCCCAGCTTATTTTTTGAGTTTTTTGTAGAGACAGTGTCTTGCTATGTTGTCTAGGCTGGTGTTGAACTCCTGGCCTCAAACAATCTTCTTACCTTGGCCTCCCCCAAAGTACTGGGATTACAGGTGTGAGCTATTGTGCTTGGCTGGTCTTTATCCTTTTAATCTATCCCCCAAATTTACCTTTGTATCTTGTAGGTGTTTTGTTAAACTTTGTTCTCTAACACTGTGGTAATTTGTTTGAAATAACTGTCCACCTGGAGATGGAGTTGCGTGAGGGTACAATGTAGCTTGTCAAATACCAAGTGCCTGTTCTTATTTTTCATCTTAAATATTTTTCAGGTCCTTTGTTGACTTCTGTTTAAGTCACAGTATACACACACACACAAGCATGCATAAGTGCATGTGTGCGTACATACTTTTTGTATAATATAATAGGTTCTCAAACATTGTAGTTTAGTCATTGTGGTGTAGACTTTCTTCCAAATTCTCTACTTTGGATTCTTTGTTATTAATCATTGATGAAGATACTGAATCTAACAGGAATCACTTGTTTTCTTTCATTCTTAACTACTCAGTTGACACGGAGTTCTTACTGTAAGTACCTATGAAAACTGGGAGACTTGGCCGGCTCAGTGACTCATCCTCATCCTGTAGTCCCAGCACTTTGGGAACCTGTGGGTTTGAGACCAGCCCGGGCAACTTGGCGAGACCTCATCTCTACAGTAAATTTAAAAAACCAATTAGCTGGGCGTGGTAGCCTGTGCTTGTAGTCCTGGCTACTTGGAAGGCTGAGGTGGAAGGATCACCTGAGCCCAGCAGGTTGACGCTGGGGTGACTGTGAGTGTACCACTGCACTCTCTAGCCTGGGTGACAGAGTGAGACTTCAACTCAAAAAAAAAAAAAAGAGAGAAAGAAAATTGGGAGACTTAATACGATGCTTTGGAATTTCATTGATTTTTTTTTTTAATCAACAGGTTAGTTTGTTTTTAAGTACTTTTAAAGGCCTTTATTTTTGTCTCATAATTTAGGGTTTGTCTGATCCAGGTAATTATCATGAATTTTGTCGATTTTTGGCTCGTTTAAAGACAAATTATCAGCTGGGAGAATTAGTTATGGTGACGGAATATCCTGAAGTTATCAGATTGATTGCTAATTTTACTATTACTAGCCTACAGGTAAGTAAAAATACATAATTGATGTTAAACTGTTGACAGTTCTAAAACAATTTTTTGGTAAGGGTTGATGGTTTGTTTTTAAAAATCTATTAGTTTGAGTACTTTGCTGAAAATATTCCTTGCGAAGTTTTAGATTAAAAAGTTCATTGCAATGTTTAGAATAATAATTGAGAAGCCACTTAAATATCTAACCATTGAAAAGTGACTTGAGAAACTAGTAAAATCCATGTGAAGAAATAAAATAATATTTTATGGGTTGTATTATGGAAACATTATTTCTGTAAGTTGGGGAGAGATTATAAAACCATATTTTCTACATGATGTCAATTTGAAAAATATTCATGGAATAATTACAAGGAAATGCAGTAACACTTCAATAGTCATCATCTCTGGGTGGTGAAATAATGAGAGATGTTGGTTTCTTCATTATACTTTTCTGAATTTATAATATTTTCTGTATTAAGTGTTCATTTTTTATGGAACTAGAATAAAAGCTAATTTTAAAATGTATGTTTAGTAATTTTGCTCAGTAATTCTTCTAGGAATATATGATGTCATTTTAAGTAACTTTTGCTCTATTTTTTTGTAGCATTGGGAATTTGCTCCCAACAGTGTTCATTATTTATTAACTCTATGGCAAAGGATGGTAGCATCAGTTCCTTTTGTGAAATCAACTGAACCCCACCTGTTAGACACTTATGCACTAGAAATTACGAAGGCTTTTATCACTTCTCGTTTGGAATCTGTTGCCATAGTTGTAAGGTATTGAAAAACTAAATGTTTCTGTATATCATCTTTTGCGCCTCGGAATTTTTTAAGATTGAGGTATACTTAAAATTCACCCTTTTTTGTATATAGTTTTATGTGTTCTGACAAGTTCATACAATTGTTTAACTACCATCACAGTCAAGATATAAAATACTTTCATTAGCCCAAAAAGTTCTTTTGGGTTCCTTTTGGGCCCTCTCCTCACCCTCATCTCTGGCAATTACTGATCTGTCTTGTTTCTCTATAATTTTTTGTATTTTCTAGAACGTTGCTTAAGTGAAATCATATGGCATGTAGCTTTGTAGCCTGGCTTTTTTCACAGGGCTTTTGAGATTTCTCCATGTTGTGTCAGTAGTGCTTTCCCTTTTATTCCTGGGTAGTATTCCGTTTTGTGGATATATCACAGTATGTTTACCCATTCACCTGTTGCTAGACAGTTGAGTTGTTTCTATCTTTGGCAGCTGTAAATAAAACTGCTGTAAATATTCCTGTACAGATTTTTGTACAAGGATAAGTTTTTATTTTTCTTGGATAAATACCTAGGTGTGGATTCCTGGGTTGCATAGTAAGTGTATATTTTACTTTATAAGAAGCTGCCACACTATTTTCCAAAGTGGCTGTACCATTTTGCATTCCTACCTGCAGTGCCTGAAAGATTGATTTGCTCTGCATTCTCACCAATACTTGATTTTGTCAGTTTTTTAAAATTTTAGTCATTCTAATAGATGTGTAGTATTACCTCATTGTGGTTTTTCTTTAATGACTAATAACATTGAGCATTTTTTATGTGCTTATTGACCATCTATATGTATTCTTTAATAAAGTGCCTGTCAAATCTGTTTCCCATTTTTTAACTGGTTTGTTTTTTTCTTATGTTGAGATTTGAGCAGCCAGTATATTTTGTTTGCAAGTCATATATGTGTTTTGCAAATACTTTCTCTGTCATTTGCTTTTTCATGTAATAGTATTTAAAAGAGCAGAAGTTTTAAATTTTGACAAAATCCAATTAATTTTTTTTTATGTATCATGTTTTTGGTGTCATACCTAAGAAATCTTTATCTAACCTAAAGTCACAAATATTTTCTTACATTTTCTCTTCTAGAAGTTTTATGGTTTTAGAATTTACATTTAGGTTAGTGATCTATTTCAAGCTAATTTTTGTATGCTACCTGAGCTAAGACTTGAGTTCTTTTTTGTTTTTTTTTTTTGCATATGGATGACAGTTATTCAAACACCATTTGAGGAAAAGGCCATTCTTTTTCTATTGAATTGCCTTTATACTGTTGTTAAAAATTAATTGACAACATACACATAGTTCTATTTCTGGACTCTGTTTGAATTAATCTGTGTGTCTTTCCTTCCTGTAGTACCCTGTCTTGGGTGCTGTAGCTTTATAATAAACGTTGGAAACAGATAGTATGAGTCCACCAACTTTTCAAAATTGTTTTGGCAATTCTGCCTTCTTTGCTTTTCCATGTAAATTTTCAAATCAGTTTCTCAATTTCTACAAAGAAATTTTGGGATTTTGACTGGTTTCATTGAAACTATAGATTAATTTGGGGGAAGAATCGACATCTCAACAATATCAAATCTCTCAGTTAGTGAGCATGTGTATCCTGTAATTTATTTAGCTCTTCTGTGAGTTCTTTCAACAAGTATTTTGTGGTTTTTAACCTTCAGATCTTGCATACATTCAGTTACATTTAGTTAGTATTTTATGTTTTCTGGTACTTTTGTATGAAACTGTTTTTTAAATTTCAATTTCCATTTGTTCATATATATCTATACTAATAACTGATTTTGAATATTGACATTGTGTGTTGTGACTGTAGTAAACTCATCTATTAGAGTAGATTTTTTTGTGGGTTCGTTGATATTTTCTTTGTACATAATCATGTCATCTTCAAATATAGACAGTTTTATTTTTTACCTCCCAATCCATTTCTCTTTTAGTTATTCATTATATAATTTTTGTTTAACATAAAGCTTATTTGTGGTGAATAAAAATACATCACATTCTAATGTTGTTGCAAACTTGTTCTTATATGTTTGTAGAGATCATTTAGATGATCCACTGGATGATACTACTACCGTGTTTCAGCAGTTGGAGCAGTTGTGCACTGTCAGCAGGTGTGAATATGAAAAGACATGCACTCTTCTTGTACAGTTATTTGACCAAAATGCACAGAATTACCAAAAACTTCTGCATTCAGCTTCTGGGATAACTATGGACATGGCTATTCAGGAAGGTTAGTAAATTTGATATGAATATTAATATTATGTTGAATCTTAAGTAACATCATTAATCACTTCAGTAATTTCACTGTATAGTGGGAGACTGGGGGGGGTGTTGGGAGGTGAGATTGGCAGTAGAGGGAATCTGCCGGGGGTTGGGGGAGAGCACCTCATCTTTTTTTTTTTTTTTTTTTT